GAGCGGGAGGTGTGTCGAGCGGTCGACACGGAGCCGGAGCTAAAGCTAAGGATTGACGAGACTGACTTCACGGCTGTGTTCGATGATGTGTGGACAGTCCGTTGGAAATGGGCCGGTGGCGTGGCTCCGCCCCCGCTTGGAAACTCGATAGCTCAGTACGGTGTGCCGAGTTGTGCGCGTGAAAAATTCGATGCAGAGCTGGCGCTGTGGATTAGTGAGGGCTGGCTGCGCGAATACGATGAGACGATGTACGGTCCCGCACAGGGATTGATCCCGTTGATGGCGGTTACTCAGGCAGCGAAGGACAAGGTGCGGCCGGTGTTAGATTATCGGGAACTCAATCAACACCTGACACGTCACACAGCCGACGCTGACGTCTGCGTGGAAGAGCTGCGAAGGTGGCGACGTCACGGACGCCGGGTCGCTGTCCTGGATCTGAAGAAAGCTTTTCTTCAGCTTCGTGTGGACCCGGCCCTGTGGCCGTACCAGACAGTCATCGTGCAAGGGCGGCGGTACTGCCTGACCAGGGTCGGCTTTGGGCTCAGTATCGCGCCTCTGATCATGAAGGCTGTGGTCAGGAAGGTGCTCGCACAGAGCCCCGGGTTGGCAGAGGCAGTGCTGCCTTACGCCGATGATCTGCTGGTCAACGAAGCGGTGGTCTCGGCTGATGAGGTTGCCGAGCACTTCGCTCGATTCGGGCTCACATGCAAGCCGCCGGAGCGGGTCGCGACCGGTGCACGTATGCTGGGCCTTCGTGTCGCCGAGAGCGACGGGCCGGCACTCCAGTGGAGTAGGGACGGGGAGTCACCAACGCAGGCTCCACCCGTGCTAACGCGGCGATCTGTCTTCGCGTGGGCCGGCCAGCTGACATCTCATGTGCCGGTCGCAGGCTGGCTGCGGCCGGCCGCTGCATGGATGAAGCGGACTGCCAACCGCCTCAGCCCGGACTGGGACACTCCGATCGTCAGCGAGGAACTACAACGTGAGGTGGATGAGGTGTCACGGCGGTTTCGAGCATGTGACCCGGCACGCGGCCAGTGGTGTGTGACAGGGACGAGCGTCGTGGTGTGGACCGACGCCAGCTCCATCGCCCGCGGTGTCGTGCTCACTGACCCTGACACGGGCGCCATCATCGAGGACGCGTCCTGGCTGCGTGCCGAATCGGAGAGGGACGTGCACATCAATATCTCAGAACTGGATGCCGCTCTCAACGGTGTCAACCTGGCGGTAGCATGGGGCTTCCGTCGCCTGACGCTCCGGACAGACTCGGTGACGGTGCACCGCTGGCTGAGTGACGCGCTGTCGGGTAAGGCAAGGCTGCGAACCAAGGCGCAGTCCGAAATGCTTATCCGACGGCGCGTGGCTGTTTTCCGTCAGCTCGTCATCGAGTACGAACTGGAGGTCACTATCGAGCTGGTCGCGTCAGCGGTCAACCGTGCTGATGAGGTGACGCGGGTGCCCAACGCCTGGCTGCAGACTGCCGACCAGCCAACCACTGATTCGTCCAAAGCACAACCGGTGGCTGTCGCTGCCATCACAAGTGCCTCAGCGAGTGACATCCGCACCATCCACGAAAACATCGGTCACCAAGGAGTTAGGAGAACGTTGTGGTACGCCCGACGTGAGCTGGGGGTGAGGCGGGTGTCAAAACCAGCTGTGCGAGACGTGGTCAGACGATGCCAGACGTGTGCCTCGATTGACCCGGCGCCGGAGCGCTGGCCCGGTGGGTCACTCGGAACAGAACGCACGTGGGATCGCCTGGCCATGGATGTCACCCACGTGCACGGCCACCCATACCTGACGCTGGTGGACTGCGGGCCGTCGAGGTACGCCATATGGCGACGGCTTCGCCGGGCAGGAGCTCTGGAGATTGTGAGTGAGCTGGAGAACGTGTTTCTAGAGCGTGGAGCCCCGGCGGAAATACTCACGGACAATGCGACAGAGTTCCGTGGCCGGGTCATGTTAGCGTTCGCGGCTCGCTGGGACGTATCCATCCGGTTCCGCGCTGCCTACGAGCCCGGCGGGAACGGCATCGTCGAGCGCCATCATCGTACCATCAAAGTGATGGTGGCCCGGCAGTCCTGCTCCGTTGCTGAAGCAGTCCATCGATACAACGTGACACCGAAGGATGGCAGTGACCCGGCCACAGCTCCAATCAACGGGGTGCTTCGACACCCTGGCCGAGACGTTGACGTGACGCCCCGCAGAACCTCAGACGAGCCTGGTGACGCCCTGCCGCTGAAGAAACCCGGTGTATACCAGGTAGGGGACAAGGTGTGGGTTCGGCGGCGGGGCGACCGATGTTTTGTAAAGTCAGACGAGGGTATTGTGACAGGCGTCGTTTCGGCCCAGACAATCGAAGTCGATAATGTCCCACGACATGTGCGAAACCTCCGACATCGGTTGACCGTCCCTGAATGTCCGAGGCCAGGGGCTCTGCGAGCGCCAACGGTGGAGTGGTCTGATGACAGCGAGTGTGATGGCGTGTGTGTGTCGCCAGCTCCGAGTGATGTGACGGAGTCGGACACGCGGCCGCCCAGCGTCGCTCAGTCCCCGGACCCCGATCCACCGACCGGGTCCGATGTGTCCGCAGACGAGAGTGAAACGTTCGTGCCTGCGACGCTGCGGCGTGGTACGCGTGTTCGAAGAGAGCCGGAAAGATATGGCGATGGTGTGCCAGAGGATGTAGTTGATGCGTTGATTGAATGACATGTAACATGTAGAGTAATGTGGTTCTTCAGAACCAGGGGGTGATGTAGCGTGACGCAAGGATGAATGTGAGCCGTATAAGTGTGAGTCAGCTTCAGCGTCGAGCTGTGAACCGGTGACCCAGCATTGGTCATAGCCGCCGGCATCTGATGCCGGCAGGGCCGAGTTACACCCTGCAAGTAGCTGGGCCGGGCATGACGTATGGGAGCATGATTGGCTGGTTATGATGTGAGATATATGACGTATGACAGCGCGATTGGTTGGTGATGATGTGAGATGTGTGTCTGCGAGCTGTGGATGTGCCAGGAGGGGGATTGTGAGTTTAGTTGGCTGGAAGGTGTAGAGGAGAGCAGAATAGATCTTCTTCTTGTGCTGGACGGTGACTTTTAAGTCAGTACGACAGGGTAATTGGCCGAGAGACCGTTACGAAAAGGTTAATTGCCACCGACAAGCCCTGCATCACAGCTCCTCTGCGCACGTTATGGTGTATGGCTCACGACCAGCGCTCGGAACGTATGACTTCGTTGAGAAGATACGGGCGGATTCACACCAGAAAACGGGACAATTTGACGGTGTTTAATGGCTGGGAGCGTGAAATTATGGCGGGGGACCCCTTGCCATTTAACGGTAGCGCTATGTGAAGATATTGTGCGATGGCACTGTTCTCAAAGCATGACGCCATTATATTGCTCAACAGTGACAGTTTATATGTCTCTTGAGTAAATGCAGACCATAACTGCTTGTGATGCACGTTTTCAAATTTTTAATGCTATAAGTTGCAACACCAATATTTCATTGCCCAACTCTGACAAAAACAGAGCTGACGATGGCAGCTGTGGTGTTCGCGGAGCTGTTCTTCCCACGCAGTAATGTTACGGGCGTATCTATACGTGTAAGGCAAAATCCACTTTTACTTTCTCTTCCGCCTACTTCTGCAAAACATTATACGTTGTTCGCTCGCCGCCTAGCCGGCTCAGAGTGGCGTCAGATCGTGGACGGGTTTGGCTCGGCGGGGTCTCGTGGGGCCCACCACGGACCAGAGGGGGTCTAGACGACAGGAGCTGTCGGCCAGAGGACCGCCTGCCCAGATGTATTGGAATTGCAAACCAGTTGCAGGCCTCATGAGTTGCACGATTTGGATCGCCACTCTGCATATTGCACACAGGTCCTACCAAGGTCGGTGTGCAATGCGAACCTCATCTCGAAGGGGAGGGGGTATTCAATTACTTTGTTGAGACACTAGAATTATGTATGTAAGCTGAAGCGGAAGAAGACTGAGCTGCAACGGCAATGATTTGAAATTCATTCAGTTACTATATAAATATCTTGAAAGGATTATAATTTTCAGTACGTTTTGCAAAAGTGTATCACTTCGATTGATGGCTTTTTATTGCGATACTTTTCGAGGGCAAGTACTGTATTTTGGAATAGTTATGAAAATAAAATAAAGTTTCATTATCCGAATCTTAGTTCACATAGAGCAAATACGCAAAATTATGAGAGTGGATATCCTACCTTACTTGCTAAAGGAGCTTTATGGGGAGCACTGCATTGCGCATTTCAAATTTGTGTTGCATTAGTGCATCATTTGAATGTGTTTCACTTTCAAATTGCTTTCCCTTTCTATCCTGTTGAATGTGAATCAAGGACAATTCTAATATGCAGCGCATTGGATGCATTGCAAAGCAGTTATAGTTAGACGGAGTAGACCATACGAGTATAGGTATGCCCTAACTGAATAGGATGAATCGCTTTTTCACTACTTCCATAAGATTTATTGCATTTTGAAATAGCATTTATGCGAGCTTTATGATAATGACTGATATAAATACAACAGCTCTGCATCAAATGTCTGCAAAGCTCAAATAGTTTTTTTTAACCTTTTCGCAGTTAAGTAAATTAAAAACGGTACACGGTACAATACATCGAAATAATATTAGCTGAAATATGTTCTTGCTTATCAAAGAAGATATTCGGAGACGGAAAATATTGATATTTAAATGTTCGTAAGCGTATTTCAGAGGGGTAAATGAAAATGGGAAAGGTTGAAAACGATTTTTAAGTAAAGCGATTCACGCGTTTTGTACAAAAAATTCATGACATTTTTATGGAATAATTGAGGAGGTACCTTTAGAAAAGTTACGAGTGTTATAGAGTTTTTAACACGTGTTGAACACACTCGCTGGATTCAGCAGACACTCATGCACGATCGGGCGGCAGTTGGTGACCTCTGACCGAGTAGGTACTCTGCCTGGAACACTGCCAGCACTGGATTCCGGTGCGGGACTCACCTGATTCTGAGTGAAGTGACGGAGGAGATCACGGAGGTCCGATCGCGGACCACAACCACTGCCGAGTGTGCTGCTGGCCCGGCGGCCGGCGCCCTTATAGGAGGCGTCGCCGCTCGGCCCGCCGCCGGCTGCTGACCTTCAGGGACCCGCGGCGCGGCCGGCGGCCCGGCTCATCTGGAGCACACTGCACGCGTACCGGTCACCGGCCAGGGGCGGGGGGGGGGAGGGGATTCGCCGCGACTGGCGGCGTCGAGTGGACAGGAGGTATCCGTCTCCGCCCGGGTCAACGCCGCCGGGCGGGTCACGGCTCGACTGCCGGGGTCACTGACTGGCCGGGTCACCACCGTTGGGGGAGGGGTCCTGGATAGATTACCACCATGCGTCGGGAGGGTCAATGCCAAGGCCACAAACGCCGTGTATGACACTGGGTCAAAGTGCGGCAGGGAAAGGTCAGGGTGGTCTCTGGTCACTGCCGTGGGGTGGGTCACTGGCTAGGTCACAGTGCCGCCGGTAAAGGCTGCAGGGAGACCTCGGAGACGGGACATGCCTACGGGTGATGAAGGATGGAAAGAGGTTGCCAATTGCCGTTCAGAAGCGCCAGAACAGGTTGAGGAGAGCAGCATGGCAAATTGATGACGAAAGGTGGCGGAAGTGATAGCGATGCCCGCCTCTCTCAATAGGCGCATTCAAGATTAAATTGCTGAACGCAGCTGTGGTAGGTGGTAAGCCGTTCCGTGCTTCTATTTCTCGGTTGATCTGATTTATTGTCAGTGGGTCACTAAGCGGAACGAGTCTCCCAGGTGCGTGAGTTTATGCTAAATAAGCAGTCTAAAATAATGTCCATCAAGACAGCCCATATTCCCTAAAATAAGACCAACCAAACCATACTGAGACCGGCGCGTTGGCACATACCACCACGTGAATCGTTTGTAGTTAGCAGGCCGAGTCCTATATTCCTATTATAGGAAGCGGTTTTTGTTGACGAGCCGTTGCGATTAATTGAATCGAAAAGAGCGCTGCGCATGAATTGGGCACCGACTTCAGCTGGTTGTGATATGTCGCTATGGCCTAAGGCCAGATTTTTTTGTGACCTTCCCAGTTCCTACTACAATAACGAGAGAAATGTCACACTAAATATAAAAAACAGCTATGGGTAGACATTGTCGTCACTATTAGTCGCAGTCTGGATGAAAAAAAACTTGTGCCATTGAATCTGTGAGCAAACGGAATCAACTTATGGGATTGGGAAGAACGACATTTTTAGGCCAATTTACAGCTTCATCGAGATCAGTTATGCTGGACACTCGACACGCTTGACAATTTCGTAATGAAATATAACGCGATGAAATATAGCGTTTTCAATAATACCTAAACATGATTGGTATACCTATCTACTGTACTATTTCCAGAATCTATTTTAGTTTACATTATCAAATATCGTTAATAATTAAGGATGACGAAACCATTACCCTAGAAACGTTCACTGAAACCCGTCTGAGCCTGCTTTCCGAAAAATTATGATGAAGCTTAATTGGGTCTAGTCCAGACAAAATGAAAACAAAAACTCTTTGACCTTTTGTGACCGGCCATGACATACACTAAGCCACACTGGAAGAAGAAGGAGGATTGGAAAGCAGTTTGGCAAGAGAAAGTAGACGGTCAGCGGGACAGAGGGATGGCCGTTTGGGTGGAGGACAAGTCAGTTGCAGGTGGAGGACAAGTCAGTTGGGAGGAGGACAAGTCAGTGGGTTGGAGGACAGGTCAGGTGGATGGGTTAGTTTAACGGAGGAGGTCAGTTGGGTGGAGGACAGGTCGGTTGGGAGGAGGACAGGTCAGAATGGATGGGTCAGTTGGACGGAGGATAGGTCAGTTGGGAGGAGAGTAGAGTACGGGCCAGTAAGGAGGACCAAAGGTCAGGTGGGAGGAGGATCAGGTCAATTTGATGTAGAGTAAACAGGTTAGTTAGATGGACAGGTCAGGTAAGTAAGATGGAGGACAAGTCAGTTGGGCGGAGAACAGGTCAGTTGGTCGGAGGACAGGTCAGTGGGATGGATGGACACTGAACAGTTTAGTTTGGACAGTAAAGGACAGGTCAGTTGGGCGGGCAGTAGAGGACAGGTCAGTTGGACGCGGCGGAGGATGGAGGACATTCCAGTTGGACGGAGGACACATCAGTTTGGCGGAAAGTGGGGGACGGGTAGCGGACGGCCACTGGGACGGAGAGACGGTCGGTTAGATGGAGGGCGGATGACAGGTCAGCTGGTCGGAGGACAGGTTAGTTGAGTGGATGACAGATCAGTTGGACTGGGCTGGGGAGAGTAGAGGACAGGTCAGCTGGGCTAGGGAGAGTAGAGGACAGGTCGGCTGGTTGGAGGACAAGTCAGTTGAGTGGAGGACACATCAGTTGGGTGGGAGAGGACAGGTGACAGATCAGCTGGTCGTCCGCCCGGCCCTCCGTGACGACCGCAGCTGATTGGTGCGATAATCCCATCCCAGGTGACCGCCGAGCCACACCCCTTAATTCAGCTGCCGGCGAACGGACAGAGAAAGTGACCACCCAGTCACGCCCCCGATAACGGTACTTTGATCTGTCCTGGCGGCCCTCTCACCCCCTTCCTGGTATGCCTCCCCTGTGAGTTGGGATAGGTCAAAGTCACACACCAAGCCCTCCCTCTATTGTCCCGTGTGGTCAAACACCGGCATAGCTCATCTCCATCTCTCTGTCGCGCTCGCGACCACGCACTTGCACAGATACGCACTCCCAATGTCATGCTAACTCATCCTGGGCCTTCATGAACTCTTCCTTTTGCAGTTACATATTGCCCTGAGCCCCTGAGTGATTCTCCTAGATCCCGTTTTTTTCCGTGATCAGCGATGGGAGTGGTCAGTGGTGTCGACCTGTCCTGTAGCTGGTGCCGCCATCCCTGGCCCCTCCTTTTGATTTGATCGGTCGGTCTGGATCATACTGCAGGGAATAGGTACTCGCGTATGCTGCATACCTATGTGGGAGGGTTGCGCTAAAGTGGTCATTGACTACAGAATTTACATTACATTCATGGTTCATCAATATAAATCGAACACCATCACGGAAATTAAGCTTTTAACAATGTATATTTCATTCAAACGTGAAATATGCCATGCATATGACATTGTGGTATAACTCAACCATTGATTTTCCTACTTTTCTTCAACTATCATTGTGAACACCTTTCACTCATTACTTCATCATTGATTCAAAAGTGATTTTAGCTGCACATCTATTCCAAACTGGAGTGGTGTCGCTAAGGGTGGTCTCTTCTTACCTAACTTTACACCGATGACATAGATAACTGGGCCGGTTTGTTCCATTCTTTTCCTGTTACACCATTCTGCGTCGGATCGCTGTTGGCTCCAAGGTACCGCACGCACACTCTCTTTAAGCACCGCTGGCGCTCTGCTAGTTCGGGCTCGGCCATTCCTGCACATCCAACCTCTAGTCTGCCCTTTACCCAGTCATTGGGGTGGGATGGATAGGCACGTGGCGTGTGCTGTGCTGCGTGTGAGTGTTGTGTGCGCAAAAGGCAACTCAAAGAGGTCGGAACTAAATAACTGAAAATCATCTCTATGCAGTTTTCAACTAATTTTGTCGTCTTTTATATCTTCAATATGAAAATTCCTTGCCATCGATCTCATGTAAAGCTGGTTGAATAATTACAGCCATCGCCATGCCATGAAATCTGAGAATGCTTCCCATGAATTCTCATCGCTTATTGGAATGTGCCTTTGGATTTCCAAGACCTTGACGAGACAAATACTTGGAGACCTTGAATATGTTGGTGTATACGAAGGCCAAGGGGCGCCAGAAATCGGTTTTTCCCCGCGCCACTTGACCTTGCACATTGAGCGAGGTAACTGGATACTGCATGCCATTTGTCGCATTTAACCCGCGACCGCCTGGGGGGGGTCGGATCCGACCCCCCCCCCTCCGTTTTTCTTGAATAACTCATGAACCGCTTGCGCTATCAACTTGAAACTTCGCATACCTTCTCCCCCATCAATTTGACGTCTCCTGTGCAATTTTTAAGAAAAAATGTTCAAAAATTTCTGAGATATATCGATTTTAGTGATGTAACTACATGGCGTTTTCAGTCAAAAAATGGTAAAAGTTTAAAAAATCGCCAAAAATCGAGGTTTTAAGCAAATTGCAAATTAAGCACATGAAAAGACGCAGCTCAACGAGTTCTTTAAAATGGCTATCTCGGATTTTCCATAAAATGCGTTTTTCACCCCTAAAAATTCAAAAAACTATATTTTTTGGAAAACAGCTAATAAAATCCAAAATTTTGAGAATTTCCAAAAAACCGGAATATATGTTATAGAGCTCTATTAGAACATTAGATGTCCCAAATTTCAACTTTCTATCTTGATTTTTGACCCCCAAATTGTAAAAAATAGCTCCAACATGCATAGGGCATGGTGACGTCATAAGCATTTTCGCGAATTAGAGGCACTTCTGAACATCGCATGTGAAAACAAATGGCACCACTAGATTCCTGGGACAAAGCTCGTCTAGAAAAGTGCATTTTTATGTCAAAAATAAAAAGTTTAAAAATTGACCTTTTTTCTCAGCCCTCGTTTAGTATAAACGATTTTTTATGCTTTCAATGCACACTTATGACCAGCACAGTGACTTGGGGTCACATATAACCATTACCATCGGATTTGGCGTGAAAAATAAGCCATAAAACATGTGTCGCACGCCCATGTAGCAGAAAGTGAAAACCGTGACCTTTCGTGACCTGACCTGACCTTGACCCGTACTTAGTATGACCCCTATACGCTCATGGTACCTTCACTAGGTCTTTGAGGTCATTTGTGGTGAGTTTCGAGCAGCAGCTATCGATTCCGCGGTCCGTAAGCCTAATCATGCAAAACCCCTGAATTTGACCTTTGACCTGACCTTGACCCGAAAGTTGACCTCAATCTTAAAATCTTAAGAGTGCTTTGGGAAGGTCTCGTAGAGACCTTTCGAACGCCGCCTCGCGGGGCTCGATACGACCATTGGTTCTCGAGATAACAGGGGGGGGGGTCGGATCCGACCCCCCCCCCCCCCAGGCTGATGTGGGTACGGAAATAGCCCAGGCGGTGCCGGGTTAAATAGACAAACAATAAAGGGACAACACTTTCCAAATGCAAACGAGCTATG